TTTAATTATTTCATAGTCTCTAATCTTTTTTCATGTTAATATCTGTGTCGTTGTTGATGACATTTAAACGAGATACTCGTCTTGTATATAGAAAATACATTCGGAAGGAGTTGAGACTCGAATAATATATTCGCATTTAAGCCATAAGACGTAAGCTTACCAATTCTGAGTATTCGATATCTGAAGATCTTCTCTTTTTTCATGTGGAGATCACGTTCCCGTTTCGTATTATTGGCCACATTGTATGTCCGTGGACAGCCATTGAGCTGTCATTAATTTATGTATATTCATGAGTGCATGAATATTCATGACATATAGAGGCATTTATGCAGCCATTGTATTTTTTAATAGCACTTTGTGTCTTAATTAATGTCCCAATCACAAAAGACCAAAGGGACTACCAAATGGCTGCGGCCATTTCCAAACTCCATTTTGGGCCATATGTATTTATGCATATGTATATATAAGACAACAGCCGCAGGGCCCTGCCCCTGCTCCAGGTTCCTGCCCCTCCCCATGTTAGCGACAACTCCATGAAACTCGTTTCGTTGCACAGCACTAAATTAGTTGCTGCAGTCTCCCACTCCCGGTCCCCGCTCCCGCTGCCACTCTCCCTGGCCATCTCCCACTTCGCTGCAGTTCCACAAAAGACTATCAATACATTTTTCGTTCTTAATTTCGATGGAGGCAATTTTATTGCCACCGTCGCAGGTAGCGTGCGAGTCCAAATCGAATCGTCCGAGTCCAAGCCGGAGTCGTCGCCATCGTGGGCTTGGGCTCTGCCTCAGTTTTTCTTCATCTTCTTGTTGTAGTTGTTGTTGTCCCGAGCCCAGTTAATTTGGTCATCTTCCATGATGTTTTGATAATGCTGCTGCTGCAGCAGCCGCCTCATCTTGTCGTGGCTCTTACAGTTGTCGTCGTCGCTCTTATACCCAGCACTCCCTCATTGAAAGGGGTATATTAGGCTAACTCAGAAAGAGCCAAGTGCACTGCGCTACAAGATGTTAATTTAGTTTAGTTTATTTAGTTAAAGATTATAAACACAAGCAAAAAATAGATATTCTGCTCATCATCAGATATTACTCGAACCTTAAGCTTATTTCTTGATATTTCAGATTTCATTTCAATCCTTTGCCAATATTAATATAAAGTACGAACCTTTATAGTATCTCAGTTTTTCTTTTGTCCATCCAATGCTTAGACGGTATTTTTCTGTTGGGCATTTCTTCTGTGTCGAGTGTTCCTCTCAGAGAACGGCTACAAAACCAACAATAATAATGCAGACTTGCACGAAATTCTTGTCGCTCCGAATAATTACATAAATCAGTGATTTTTAAAGCGTTTCGAGTTTCAAGTTTTGAAACTGTCAATGGCATTGGCAAGAGCTCCGATCTCCATCTCGTATGGCCCCTCATTCACACACACATACGCACATACATATATACTCCCATACCTGAATATATATATTGTTTATATATTTATATATCTATATATATATATAGAGGTAGCCATACTTAGAATCTTATGTAGTGAAATCTGTCTCTGGTTTAATGAGTCGTTTGCGTGCGCAGGTTGTCGGCTTTTTAACGCTGATTGTTCCGGATTATGTGCTGGTGTGTATGGGTCATAAAAAGGGCACAGTATTAACACCTAAAGGGGCCGCTGTTCCCACACAGCTCCAATTCACATCGCCCCGGGTCCCGGTTCCCTGTTCCCGGGTCCCACACTAACGTTTTATGTGCGGCCAATTTCACAGTAAAAGTCGCACCTACATAAAACCTGCATGCGAATCGCTGCTAATCTGTCAGCGTTCCCGAAAAGTCGAGCTCCAAAGTAGATTTATGGGGCTGGGCGAAATACAAATTTAAGCCAAGTTGATTGATTTTGTGGCAAATTGTCGGGAAAACATTTTGATTTATAGTTGCAGCTGCCACTTTTTGCAAACAGTTTGCGCTGCGGTTGCCACATGCCACACATCTGGGTTGCATCCGATTCAACTGACCGATTGGCCAGCCGTAGCTGACCAATTGACCAGGTGCCAGAGATGGCCAGTGAACAGGGCCGACCGACAGTTGCGGTAAGTTTTTGATGCGCTTTCAAAACCAACAAGACCCAAATTTGTAATTGCAGCTCATTTCATTTCATTATGGCGCACCTTTATGTTCTGCCAGAGATCGGACATATACAGCTGATCGAATCCATCCAATTGCATTCTTCCAACAACTGTAAATGGCGTGTGTGGATGTTCCAAGCGATGTTGGAGCTCACTTGCTGTAGTCGGGGCAGGGCATTGCAACTGGATCTTCTGCTGGACCTTAATCAGGCGCTTGCGGTCTACATCCCTTGTCGGCCCTCAATTAGCTAATTTACAGAAAATCCACTCACAGGAAGCACAAGCAGAGTGTTTGGGCCTGCACAAGTCTTATTTGAGTTATCAAATTGTGACTCTTAAGGATCGAAAGCGAAACAGAATGAGCCAAGTGCATGGCTAGTAACCGTGCACACGTGAGAAGGCTTTCTTTTTGATATTAAAATTACATATGATAAGAATTTAAAAGGTGCAGTTAGGGTTTACTTCAGTAGGTTTCTATTTTATGTCTACAACACATGTCTGCACATTAATTAGCTTTCGAACTTCTCATCCGAATTTTTACCACATTTATTTAGCTTTTCGCTTTTTTTCTTAAATGGAAACTAGTAGCAATTTCGATTCAATTAAAAAATTCAAAATCTAATTTCTTAACACAAATCGACCAAAAAGTAAGGGTTACATCACGTTTTTTTCTCAAAATCGAGGTCGGTTCGAAAATCGGTCAGTTGAGATATGACGTTCCAAAACAACATAACTCCCCTTGAAGATATGACGTTCCAAAACGACATAACTCCCCTTGGAGATATGACGTTCCAAAACGACATAACTCAACGCGGAGATATGACGTTCCAAAACAACATAGCTCCGCGCGGAGATATGACGTTCCAAAACTACATAGCTCCGCTTGGAGATATGACGCTCCAAAACGACATAGCTCCGCTTGGAGATATGACGCTCCAAAACGACATAGCTCCGCTTGGAGATATGACGTTCCAAAACGACATAACTCCCCTTGGAGATATGACGTTCCAAAACGACATAACTCAACGCGGAGATATGACGTTCCAAAACAACATAGTTCCGCGCGGAGATATGACGTTCCAAAACAACATAGCTCCGCGCGGAGATATGACGTTCCAAAACAACATAGCTCCGCGCGGAGATATGACGTTCCAAAACGACATAGCTCCGCGCGGAGATATGACGTTCCAAAACAACATAGCTCCGCGCGGAGATATGACGTTCCAAAACGACATAACTCCACGCGGAGATATGACGTTCCAAAACTACATAGCTCCGCGCGGAGATATGACGTTCCAAAACGACATAACTCCCCTTGGAGATATGACGTTCCAAGACGACATAACTCCCCTTGGAGATATGACGTTCCAAATCGACATAGATCCGCGCGGAGATATGACGTTCCAAAACGACAAAACCGTCAAATATGTTGAGCCTCCTTTAAGTAAAAGACTTGAGAGTACATTTTTGATATTATTTACTTGTATTTGTTTCCATGAGTGCACAAATGTCGAAAGTACCTTTTATGATTTTACTTTCAGTTTAGGGAATTTTGTTTATCGTAAGATTTGCTGTTTGATTTTTGTGTTTGGTTTTTCTTTGACCATAATCATATGTTTAATATTCCGTCATTAAATAGTTTGTATATGTACGATATTATTTATTATTAGTTAAATACGCTTTAAAAATAAATGTATTTCTGTAATGTATCACCAAAAACAACACACATGCGATTAGTTATTGTTTTTACTGTCGACAGCTTCAAGTTGACGTTTCAAATTGATTTCTTGGGCATCGAAACGAGACGAAAGCGCTAAAAGTCCGACTAAACCTGAAGGATCAAGTCCTTCTAAGCGCGATATGCTATAGATCCAATTAAATATAGATTATAATGTAGTCTGATCTTAACTGATCTATGAATGCCAAAAACCCAATTACCATCATTGTCATCTGTGCGTTTGCGTTATGAAAGCTTCAAAATGCTGTCATGCGTATGTACATTGGGTAGAGGGTATGTGTGAGTGTGTTTGTGTTCGTGTGTGTGTGTTTGTGTTTGTGTGTGTTGGGTGGGGTGAAAAGGTTGAAGCATTCTATTTACATGGGCAAAGTAATACCCTTCAACTATTTCATGCGGCTACACACATCTATAAATATCAGTTTATGGCTTAACATGCAATATATGTAAAGTGTTATGTTCCCATACTCTCAGTGGATATTGGGTACTTGTGATATTTGTTGTACTTTATACAATCTATTTATTATGTCTTACAATTTTCGTTTTAACCAATTCGGATGTTTCTGTTGTAGGTAGTTCAATTGTTGAGGTTTTCTGTCTATATCTGGTTATGGATGCATCTGCTTCTTGTTGGATGGTTCAAGCTTCTACTCAGTCTAAATACAATCGCTTGAACAAATCGTCAGTTCAAGGTCAAAGTTTGTGTTGTATTTGGATTTGGCTTAGCTTGAACATGATTTCTGTTTCAATTGTTTCTATGTTTTTCTGTCAACGTTTATTTTCATTCAATTATTGTGCGGCACTGCAAATGATTAATAATTTATTTAAAAATTGTCATAATATAAATATTCTCGCATTTCGTGTGAATCATTAACAACACTCAGCATATATGTACTGTATGTATATTGTGAGAGAGTTTAATTTGGATTTGTGTTCGGTTATGTATTTGCTTTTTATTATCATATTGATTTATTTATTTAATTTGTTGTATTTACAGCTAAAATTGTGCAATTTGCAGTGGCTGATTCCTAATATGCCACATTCATTTAAATCGTGTCTAAGCTAAGCTGTAAAATTGCCTTAAATTTTCGATTGTTTTTCTTTTCATTATTCATAAATATTTAGTTTGAAATGTGTGTGTCTGTTTGTGTGTGTGTATGTGAGTGTGAGTGTGAGTGTTGCTCTGTGTGCTTCCTTTAATACTGTATCTCTATGCGATTATGTGTCCTGCCAAGGCATGTAACTTTTTCTTTTGTTTTTTATTTGGCTCTTAAGAAATGTCCACTAAATGTTGTTGTTGTTGAAATGTACACTCGGTATATAATTTATATAAATTTAATTTAATTTTGAATTAATTTACAAAACGTTGCCGTCTACCTTTTGAGTATATTATAGGTAAGATTAGTTTTAGATTTAGGTTTTGGATTTCGATTTAGTCCATATATATAAATACAATGAATGCTTGCGGTTGCAATCAGATGCAAACGGTTACTAAATATAAGTACAGATACAAATTAAAACTTAAATGAGCGCTTCGTGATTTCTATCAAATCAAGTACAATGTAATTCATAAAGCATAGATTTATAAGTAGGTATAGTTAGAATTACAGTTACGATTACAGTTATAGTTAAGTCGACTACTATCCAAATATCTAAATTAAATCAAATAATATAACAAAGCAAAGCAGCTTTGTGCGCAAATACTGTTTAAATGTTGCGTAGACACACGTGACTGTTCTGTTTGTCAGCTTCTGGCTCTTCTAATTAGTTGCGTTACCATTTTAGTTGTAGTCTAAATAGTTAGTTAAATGTTGCTGATGCTTGCAATTTAACTAAAAACAGTTAACTCTCTTGGCAAAAAATACACATTTCATTGGGTTTGTTCGTGGCTATAGATATTCACAAGTTGAAGACCTCCTTCTGGAACTGGGACGTTGATAACTCAGGCGACTGCTTGCATACTCTGTCTATATATGTGTATATATGTTTTAATATAATGTGTAATAATACAAACTACAGCTACCTTCTTATGCTTAGCCTTCTATTAATTCTGCCTGCCTGCCTGCCTTAAGCTGTTCATCTTCATATATATATACAAATTCTATATTCTTCTGGTCTCTACCAAAATTGTGCTGCTGTTGCGCTTGTCTGTGGCGGCATTGTCGTCGTTGTACTTCCAGTTGCTACAGTTGCAACAGTTGTTGTTGCTGCTGCTGCTGTTGGTGCTGCTGTCCCTGTTGCTGTTGCTGGATTTAGCTGCGGCAGGGGAGGATATCAGGAGTGCTTGTCGGTGAGCTCAGTCCAACGTGACTCGAAGAACTTGCGCATGCCATGCCCAGCCTTGCCCACGGGCGAATCATCCTCGTTGAACATCTCGCAGTTGTCAAAGATTTGCCGCACATCCACGCAAAAGTCCTCGCGGCACTTGTAGCTGCTCATCAAAGACGAGATAAAATTCTGTTAAAATCAAACCCAGATTGTGCACAAATGATTTACACACCTCAAATCCTGCAGTTTCTTCTTGATTGTGGACAGATCCATGGGCGCTTTAATGATTTTGCGATATGTGGGAAACTGTTTGGTGTTCACAGGCAACAGAAATGGCCACGAATCCTCATGAAGCTGTCGAAGTATATGTCAATTAGCCTTTTGTAATTGCTTTTATCTTAGTTTCCTTACCTCCATTTCGCCCAGTAGCGTCTTGCAGACGGCCAGCTCCTTGATCAGCTTCTTGGTGGCATGCTTCTCCTTCTTCTCCTGCTTCAGCTTCTCCTTGGCCTCCTGTATGGCGTGTATGTTAATGGGCGGCGGCGACATTTGCGTCCCAGCTCCAGCACCACCAGCACCCGGCGGCGTCGGAGTGCATGTCCTCGGCGACGGCATGGCCATCAGCTGCTGCTGCGGAGGCGACTGACAGGCAACGTTCAGCAGTGCCGTTGGCGATGCCTGCATCAGAATAGGCGCCGTTACGTTCGGCGTCGGTGGCTGCAGCGGCGCTGGCAGCGCTGGCGGTGGTGGTGTTGGTGCCGCCACGGGCGTGGACGTCGGCGTGGGCGTAGGGGTGCGCGTGGGCGTCACCTCACGCGGCGACATGGCCGCAAACTGCATCGCCTGCGGCACAGACACCACGCCAAAGTTGCTCGGCGCTGCGTAGCCAGCCGCAAAGGAGCCGCTCTCCTCCAGCTGCACGCCTCCGTTGTTGTTGCCGAGATGCGCCTGGAAACGGCTGCCGTCAATCGAGTTATTGTGATGCTGCTCATCGTACGTGGCCGAGGCAATCGAATGCGCCGGACTGCAAATTGTGAACGAAAATTTGTTTTACAATGGGCGAAACATACTAGTCATATATGTAAAATGGAATTTTGTAAAATGGTCCATAATGGATTCAAATGTAGGCTATCCTATCCTACTTCAAATTGTTAGATGTATATCTATACATATTCTATATAAAGATAGTTTCTTTGTAATGTACATGCTAAAACTGAGTTTTGGTAAATGCCGGTACACATATATATCTTACCATTTGCCAGATTTCCGATCAATTCTATGTAGAACAACAGGAATGAACAAAGTAAATAAATCTTGCGATCCCTATTCCATCTTTAATTTCGGTTCGTGCAACTGGTTTTCCACATTGACAAACTTTGCTTCCGTTTCGAGACATTTATCATCCGATTTGTATCAATTTTTAATGAAACCATTTATTTGATAATTCATAAAAAATATCTATTTCGTTCTGCACATTTTAAACACAGAAGTCAACGCGACCTCTAAGGCCCCCAAACTATTGAGACATTAGCTAAACTATCTGTTTTTTTTCAATTTGTTCGATTTTGGGTATTAAAATTCCTCGAAGACTATTTCTAAAAGAATTTGAACACAATTTAATGATGCTGGAGCGTAACGAATAATATTTGAATGGTTTGTTAGGTGCTTGCCCATGATGTGAATCAAAAGTGCGAGAGGAGGTTATTGTTGTGCATGTATTTGAGATATGTATTATATTATTTGAAATATGTATGTATGTACACGATCAAGTATTATGTATTTGAATAATTGTTATGTTACATAATTGAATGCTTGGGTTCGGAAGTGAAATATGTATTTGAAAGGGTCGCTCACCTAAGCGGCGCTGGCAGGGATGTCATGGACTCGTCGTGCGACGAGTTGAGCGACTGCTGTGAGCCATGCAGCAGCATTTGCTGCTGCTGCTGCTGCAGTTGTTGTTGTTGCTGTTGCTGCTGCTGGTGTGGATCGATGGGACACAGCTGCTCCATGCTGCCGGCCGAGGCCAACAGCTGATGTTTGTCGCTGCCGCGTCGCTTTGCCGCGGTGCTGGCATCGCGATCCCGTCGCGACTTGCTGCTGCTGCTGCCGCTGCTGGCGGCGCTCCTCTTCTTGGGTGGCGGGGCGCGGGTGATGCAGCCGTGGCAGTACCACTTGCCGCGCGGCACCTTCAACAGCGGCGGAATGTAGCAGTCGGCGTGATAGGCGCGCGGACACAGATCACAGTAGATCATCTTGCCGACAGGCGAGGGCCGATGCCCGCCGCAGACGATGCACTTGCGCTCGTTGGTCGCCTTATTGACGCACTCATAGCAATACCTGCAAGCAGAAGGAACTCATTAGTCGCGCACGAACAGGACAGACACCAGGGAGGTTGGGGGGCGGGACGCGCTACAGTGCGTGGCGTGGACTTGGTGGACTTGGACGCGGGCGTACAAAAAACAAAAGTTAACAATTCAAAACGATGCGACAAATGTGCGAGGGATGAACAGATTGATGAGGACCAAAGGGCTGAGTCGGATGAAGAATTTGGCTTGGTTTGGTTTTGGTTGGGTTTGGTTGGCTTTCTACTCACCAGTCGCCATCGGGTATGTTGTCCATTTTGGGCTTGAAGCAGTAGGTGTGGTAACCCTTGTCGCAGCCATCGCAGAGCAGCAGCTTGTCCTCGTTCTCGCCCGAGGTGCAGAACTGGCAATTCTGTAAGGAGTTTGAATATTTGCAAGAGTTTGTAGTAGTGCCTGAACGTCGTCCTTGTCGTTTGCGTTTGCCGTTCGAATACGAATTGCAGTCAGTGTCCGAGTTCGAATCGGAGTCAGAGTTCGAGTTTGAGTTCGAGTTTGAGTTCTGGTCGCATCCGTTTTGCGCCAAGGCTTTCAAATTTATTTTTATGGTCATCGAAGGATTTTTTGCGGCAGGTGGCGTCTCTTTAGCATTTTCCCTTTGCTTTGATTTCTTCGGTGTTGCTTTGCTTGACTGTTTCTTCTCCTTGTCCTTGTCCTTTTTGGACTGTTTTTGCTTTGAGGCGCTCTGTTCTTGTTGTTGCTGCTGCTTCTTCTTTGGCGTAGCCTGCTTTTTGGCGCTGCCTTTCTTCTTGTTGGACTTGTTGTTCTTTGCGGGCGTTGCATACTTTTGTACGCAATCAGATTCAGATTCAGTTCAGGTTGCGTTCGAGTTGGAGTTGCGTTCGAGTTGGGGTTGCGTCCGAGTCGGTTTGAAGGAAATGTTGCGTTCGTTGCAGCGGGCAAACGGGTAAACGGATAACGGCAGCGGGTATGGCAACAAAAGCATTCGATTGTGAAACAAATGGCGTGTTTATGTATGTGTGTGTGTGTATGTGTATGGGTTTATGTTTATGTGAGTGTATGTGTGTGAGTGTGTGTGTATGAAAGCGTTAAATTCATTTTTTTGATTTTGAACAAGAGAACACCATTGAACACCACAAACAACAAACAAGTCAAACATTCAGCGAAAGTGTTAAGAAAGAAACAGAACAAACAATAAAAAATTCGAATTAATTTCAAGGCAGTCAATAATTTTGTTCAATTAAGGACGACAGTTGCAAAGGAAAGACAATTCTACATAAGTTTACATGCAAAACAAACAAAATTGCAAATGCTAGATGATCCAAAAGAAAGCACTACTTGGGAACTTGGAACTTCTACAAGCTTCGAATAGTTGGGCATGATATTGGGCTACAAAGAAATGACTACTAATTGTGGCAAGACAAGAACTTGGAAAGCGGATCCGATGAATATCTAGAATTTCTTATTTTAACTATCCTAAACAATGTTTTTTTATTAAACGATACTTTTTAGCTAAGACAGAGCCGTATGAAAAGCCGTTTTGTTGACTAAAATCACAAACTGATTATGGAATTCACAATTTTGAAAATTGATTAGAAAACTAATTGGAGGAACACTTCCTAATTTTCTGCTTGATCTGGTTTAAAGCATTTCTCAAAGCGGTATGTAAGGCCTAATTAATTTCCGTTTTCTCCCATATCTATTTTCAAAAGTCTTCAAAATGTTACGAAAAAGACCTGGAAAATACCAGCTTCTGCTTGAAGAGCATAGAATATTCATATGTCTCTAATGACAAATCTGTCAACTATTCCTTTGCTTCTCTTCTTCGGACCACAGACATTCGAAGAAAACAAGGTACGATTAAAAAGAAAACTGGTGAAAATTAGTTAGTGCATATGTGTGTGAGTGTGTGTGTATGTCTGTGTGATGGTTATGGGGTTAAAATGTGAGTATATAGATGTGTGAATGCCAAAAACTAAATGGGGAATGAAAGGCGTCTGACTGCAGCATGAAGGAGTAGGTCTTCAAGGCGCAATGTCAGTGTGGAATGGTGTTTAGTGTTGGGTTGTTGGATTCGTGGGTTTGGTGGGCTGATGGCTGGATAGTAGTGGGGTGCCAAGCTAAGAGATAAGCAAAAGCAAAAGACAAAGAGCTGAAACTTACCGCCTTCATGATGCTTTTGTCCCATGCCACGCAGGACTCCAGCACATACAGGGCCATGGCCAGCTGGGCGGTGGTATGGGATCGAGCGACGGCATCTCGCCATTGCACCAGGCCCTTGGGTATATTCTCCACCTTCTCGTCCTTGTCGCTGTCGCAGTTGCTGGCCGGCGATGCGGCGCCGGAGCAGGGCTCCAGGGTTCCGGCTGCCGGCACAACCGCCTCGCACGATGTGGACGCGACGCTGGTGCTGGGAGCAGCTGCCGCAGCAGCTGCGGCCAAGGCCATGGCGCGCTCGTTAAAGACGGAGGCGTTCAGGTTGTTGCCGGGCTGTTGGGTCTGCTGCTGGGCCATCAGCTGTTGCTGCTGCTGCTGCATCTGCAGCAGATACGCCGCCGCCGAGGCGGAGTTCTGCGTCTGCGTGGAGGTCTGCTGGTTCTGGGCGATGACGGCCAGGTGGGCGTCGCCGGTCTGAGAGCCAAGCGGCGGCTTCAGATAGCGTCGCTCGATATTCGCCTCCAGATCGATGATGCGCTCCCTAATCATGGGTATGATGCTCACAAAGTCCGCCTCGCTCATCTCCTCCTGCTCGCCCAGATTGATGTCATTGTCGCTGCGCGTGGGCAGTTGCCAGTTCTTTAGCTGCATCGAGGCGCTGGCAATTTTATCTTCCAGCGATTCGAGCTGCTCCAAAAGTGCCAACTCCACTCGCCTGGCCACCTTGGGGTTCCAGTCGCCGGGTCGATCCGGCATCATGTACTCGACCAGTTCGACCTGGGCCTCGTTCAGCTTCAGCTGATAGTTGACGCCCAGCGGCTGTTCGAGTCCGAGGAAGCGCGTCAGATTCTCCTGCAGCTCGCGCTCGCGCAGTCCCGACGGATTCAACGTTTTCAGCAGCTGGCGCAGCTTTTGCTCGTCGTCCAGCTGCCACCAGCCGTAGCGCTGCCTGCGCGGCACATAGACGCCGTGCACCTTCTCCGGGAAGCCGGCCAGCTTCACCTGCTCCAGCAGCCGGTGCTCGTCCGGCGTCATCGACAGCGGCAACGGAATGTCTATCGGTATATAGGTCTGCACGCTGCTCAGCGACATGTTCGCTATGTTGTGGTAGTACGCCTGGGACAGGGCTTCGTCCAGACGCAGTTCAATCTTGGGCTTCAGGTCCAGAGATTCGCCGTTCCCGCCGCCCGTGTCCGGTGCGGCATCAGCGCGCAAACGAAAAAACGCTTCCGGCTCGGATTTGGACTTGGACAGCTTTAGTAGCTGCTGCTGCTGCTCCTCATCGGTTGGCTGGCCACGATGAGGAGACGCCAGACCGTTTTTTGACACCGTTAACTTGGCCTGTTCGTACTCATCCAGCTTGGCCTGCATCTGCTTCTCGTCCAGTCCCGACAGCGTGAAGATGCACTCCTGACTGAACTTCGTCGGATCCACCTTGCACTCCTCCATGGGTATGCTGTAGTACTGCATGTTGTTTATCAGATCCCACGGATGGCCCTGCAGCTGCAGCTGTGCACTGCAGTGCTGGTAACTGGCATAGCTGAGCTGCAGTTCCGTGGCCACCACGCCACCCTCCTCCGCCGGCAGCTCGCTGACCAGCGGCACCTCGCGCTTAACAATCGAGAACCATTTGGGCGCAGCGTCCTCGCCAATCTGCGTTGTCGACACAATGATGCAGTCGTCCTCCTTCTTTAGATCCTCCTGACTCATTGCCTCCACCTTATCACAGTTGCCGTTGCTGCTGCCGACGCCTCCGTTGTTGTTATTATTGTTATTGTTATTGTTATTATTGTTGTTGTTGCTGTTGCTGAGAGTTGGGATTAGACCCGGAATGGTGGGTATCTTGATCTCGGCCTCAAAGTCGGTTTTCGTGGAGATTACCGTGGGCGGCGGTCCCATTAGCTCCATCTCCGACTTGACCTTAATCTCTGGCCTGGCCACGACAGGCTCTGTGGCCTTCACAACGGTGGGCAACACCTCATCATCATCGTCGCCAAGGTCCACAATTTCCGGCTCCACTTTGTTGATCTCCGTCACATCATCGTCATCGTCATCGTCCTCCTCATCGTTCTGGTTCTCGTTCTCTGGCTGGTGATTCGCCTGCTGCGCTTTGACACTATCCAGTTCCGTCGGTTCATCGACCTCCATTTGCTCTGCTGCTGTTGCTGCTGCTGCTGCAGGGACACTTGCGTCCGGCAGCTGTGCGGGCTGTTCATGCTGTTCGATGCCATCTACTGCCACATTCTGTGTGTCGCTGGGCGTCTCCTGCTGCGTCTGCTGTTGCAGCTGCTCGTCCATGGCCTCCAGTGCCTCGTGGTAACCGCAAATGTCGTTCTGGGCCGATTCCAGAGCCTCGATGAAAATGCCGCCAGCCTTTGGCAGCTTCCAGTAGCGTCGCCAGAAACGATCCTGGCCAAAGCAGGCAGCCCGCAGCTGATTGGTGCTCTTCTCGAGCGCCTCCTTGCAGTTGAGCGAGGCGCGCACAATCTTGTCTAGCTTCTTTTGCAGCTCGTCGGCACTCAGGCGATTGTCCTCGTCCTCCTCAACGTTGGTTATCTCCGAGTCCAAATCGGACAGGTCATCCTCAATGATGCTAACGTCGTGGCTCTGCGAGTGCCCATCCTCATTGATGGAGTTGCGTGCGCCGCTCTTCTTCGCCTGAAGCAGCGCCGTCATCCCGACATCAGCCGCAGGTGTTGCTCCTGCTGCCGTTCCGCCGTTTTGCTGATACTCCTCCAGCTTGGCCAGCTGCTTCGAGGGGCTCACCTCGGACATAGGCGCGACGGAGAGCGGCGCTACTTGGTCGCCGCTGCTGGCGATCAGCACTGGAGCATCGCCATCCAGTTCCATGGGCTGTGGTTGTTCCGTGTCTGGAGTCTGCTGCTGCTGCTCCTGCCTGGTTTTCTCCTCCTGACTTTTGTCCTCGCTGTTGCATTCGGCGCCAGCAGTTGCCTCTGCTGCAGCAGTTCCTTCAGCCGGCGACTCGGTCGTTGCCTGCTTGTTGGCCTCTGCCTCCGCTTCGGCCTCCGCCTGCTTGGCGAGACGTTCGCGTTCGCGCTCGGCGTCGAGCTTCTGTTGGGCCAGGAGCGCTTGCATGGCCGCTTCACGTTCCGCCTGCGCCTTCTCGTAGGCCTCGATGCGAGCCTTGCGCTGGTGCAAGGCCTTGTACTTGCGCACCTTCATGTCAGTCATGTACTTCTCCTTGCGCATCTGGGCGCAGGTCTCGAGGCTGCCGTCAATCTGGCGCAGCACCGCCTTGTTCATCAGCAGGTCGTTGCACAGGTGCGCCAGCATCTGTGCCTTGCGCGTCGGATTGAGTGCCACGAAGGGCCGATCCTTGAGCGCGTGCGAGAGCTTCCAGGTGTCGTTCTCGTGCAGCAGCTTGTAGTACTCATGGTTCTTGGCCGAGTGCGTGGCCGTATCCGCGTCCAGTTGGTGGTGGTCGGGCACGCGTCGCTCGCGCTCCCTGTCCACAGTGATGCCGTGCATCTGGCGAATCTCGCCGGTGGCGGTGGCGTACAGGTAGATGCGCAGGATCTCGGACACGTTCGAGTTAGTAATGTCCGCGTTGCGCAGCGACTGGCCCAGCAGCGTGGTGTGCCGGCCAGGATTGGGCACACCCGGATCCTCGATGGCACAGACCAGCAGGTGCGTCATCACCGAAAGCAGCTCCTCCTCGGCGTCCGCATTGCTGTCGCTGATGAGCGCATCGTGAAGGTTCTGCAGTGACGGCAGCGACTCCATGTCGAAGCCCAGTGTCTCGCCAAAGTTGTGCAGGAACTCGAACACCATCAGCAAATCGGCCATCGCCTGTCCAGGCAACCGATTGCCAGCGATGCGCTCCAGTTCCGGAACGTTCAGCTCCTGCGGCAGCTCTGAATCCTCGCTGGGCTTGCGTATTAGCTGCAGTATCTCCGCGTCCCGCTTGCGCTCAGCCATGCGACGCTCGCGCAGAATCAAGCGATCCAGCACCAGCTGGTGCTTCTTCTTTTCGCGTTCTTCGAATTTGCGCCGCAGCTCGAGCATCCTGATCAAGTTCATGTGCTGGCGACGACGTTCGCGCTCCTACGAAAATAAAATGAACAAAAAAGAAAGATACAGATATGCTGGAAAAATGAAAAACAAACGAATCGCTTACCATTTCGGCAGCCAGCAGTAGCTCCTTTTGCTTCTGCAGTTCCTGTGTAAGAGAAGAAACAAAACCAATAAATGATCAATACGAGAGAACATTTGATTGTATGGAAACTAATCGAAGCGCTAAAGTAAGAATATAAAAACTAAAGCATCAGATAAATATAAATAAAACAGAGGCAATTTGGACGCATTTAAGATTGAAGGGAAACTAATCGAAGCGCTTAATTGAGAATATGAAAACTAAAGCATCAGACAACATTAATTAGATAGAGATATTCAGCTACACATTCAAAGTCTCTATTATAAATAATTTTAATAAAGAATTATTCAGGAAAATAATTGTAAATAATAAAGCTTGATTGTCTCAGTGAAATCGTTGTGACATGGCGATCCGTACGTATTAAAGCTAGTCAAGCGAGTATTTTTTGAAGACGTTTAAAAAAGAATATCAACTATTAAAGAATTTAAATAAATTATTAAGAAGTTATTCGATGGAGCAGACTTTTACAAACAAACAAATTTAACACATGTTTTACACTTTCGATTGTTGAAAATAAAATTAGAATTTGAACTAAAAAACAAACTCATAAATTAAGCTTGCCGAATCTTAACTAGAAAGTTTGGCTATAAATGTTCAGTTTGGACAGAAAATCGAAAATAAGAAACATTATATAATGTTTAGAACAAACTATAAAGCATGTGAAGAAGATGAAGCACAAGCTACGCAGCAGAGAGTGGCAAACGTGGAGTCGAAATTGATGCTGTACCTGTTCTTTAGCTAGAATAGCTTCCTGACGTCGCTTCTCTTTCTCCTAAATATTGCAAAGAAAATGCCAATTTGAAAAGGAGTTCAAATAGAGACGAGCTCTTCAATAAATTGGAAACTGACCTGCTGCTTCTTGAGCAACTCCTCCTGCTTGAGGCGATCCAGTTCTTCCTGACGCTTTTTGCGCTCCTGCAAAAGGGGTTTAGACGTTAGTAATTGAAGGTGCGGTGCATCTTCGTGCTGGGCTCACCTCAATGGCCTGCTGGTTCTTGAGTTCCTTCTCCTTGCGCTGCTGCTCCAGCTTGGCATTCTTCTCTTGGCGCGCCTTCTCCTTGTTGCGTGCCAGCTCCTCCTTCTGCTGTTTCTTGGCGTCACGCATCGCCTGCTGCTGCTTGGCGATCTCAATGCGCTGCTCCACGTTGAGCGTCTGGCGCGTAAATACTTTCAGATCCTCCAGCCGCTTGGCCACATCCTCGTCCGTCATCCGTATGTACTCGCCATCGTTGGCATAGGGCGGTGGCGCAGGCTGCAGGAACGAGCCCACAATGGCACGCGCCGAGAAACTGAAGTTCTCGCGCGTCAGACTCGATGGCTGCTGCTCCAAGAGCTAAACAAGGACGAAAACAAAAAGGAATATGTTTTACTCTCGACATTTTCGCGGTTTATAAAATGTGCTTCTTCAGTGTGTCGCGAAAGTCGCGTATTACAAATTACAAATGCGCCCTACAAACTCACAGCAAACACTTGGCCAATGGTCTTCAAGGGCAGGGTGCTGCCCGGGGCGTAGTAGGTGACCTCGCCACGGATCTGACCCTGCTTGGTTAAGCCGCGTATGACTGTATCCCGCTTCCAGCCGAGTTCTAGGGGCACACGCAGCTCCGCCACATTCAGTATGTTGGCATCCTCGCTCTCCGACTCCGAAAGGCCGCTCTCGGCGGCGACGCTCTCCGAGTCCGTTGACGTTTCCATGTGTGCGTTAGCCTCACTCAGCGCCAAGCGTATCTTTTCCTATACGAAGTAAAATAAAATTAACTAAAGCTAACCAGGAGCCACCTTTACTTTTCGTCTTACAATGTCCGCGCCCTGTTGGAGCAACTGCTGCGTGGCCAACATGGGTTTCAATCCGACGGCGCGTGACTGCGCCAGCAGCGAGGCCACCGTGTTCTTCTTGGGCTTGGACACGCCACGGCCCAAGTTGCGCGGTCGTCCCTCCTTATATGTCGAGGAGCCAGACCCAGAGCCAGAGCCGGAGCTAGACGTACCCGATGCAGCTGGCATGCTGCCCTGTGCCGGCGAAGGCGAAGCACCGCCTGCTCCACTACCGCTGCCAGAAATGGATCCGCCCGGCATGCCACCGGTGCCGCCCAAGGCAGCGGTTATAGAGCTCAGACTCTGCAAGCTGTTTGAACCGCTGCCGCCGCTGCCCTGCGCCTGATAATCGCTGGCCAGATTGCCCAGCGCCGAAGAGGCCGCTGAAGAGGCGGCAGACGATGCTCCTGCTGCTGCTGTGTTCATGCTGTTTGAACTATTTTTGTCCGAGGGTTTCATGGACAGATTCAGTGGAGCATCAAAGTCGTCTATGGTGATGGGATTGGAGGCGGAGCCAATGGCACCGCTGGCGGGCAAAGCACTCGACTTCAAGCTGAGATTAACACCAGAGGCCAGCGACGGGTCGGTGGTCAGGTCGTGCAACTCCTTGCCGCAACCCTTGTTGGACAGATTGTACGCGCCGTTCGAGGTAATGGTCGGCGGCAACTTGATGACCTCCACCCGATCGTTGGACGCATTCTGGCTGTGACTGTGGCTCTGGCTGTGCCCGGCTGTGGAGCCAGCAGTGCTGGTCACCGTCGACGACGACGACGATGCGGAAATAGCCGCCTTGGAGACGCCACTTAGCTGCTCCATGGGACTCATGCCCAGACCCATGGGCATTCCGGCGGCGCCCAGCATGCCGTGCAGATGCTGCTGCTGCTGTGCCGCTGCCGCCATTGCCGCGTACTCCATTTCGAGTCTGGCGCGCTTCGACGGACTGAGCCCTGGAAATGCAAGCAGAGAGGTAATTGCATTTGTTGTGCTTTCTAAATCCTTCTGCTGCTGCTGTTGTTGTTGTGTAAGGTGTTGTTGTTGTTGCTGTTGTTCTGCTTGGTGTTGTTGTTGTTGTTGTTTCTGTGTGGACTGTTGTTGCTGTTGTTCTGTTTCGGATATGGTCTTCTTGCGACCGCGTGAAGTACTACCGGGTATCTTGGGGCCCACGATGGAGGACGTGTACTTGATAATCTCCGTATCCGGCGGCAGTCTCACACCCAGCAGTGACGGATGCTCGCTGCCGCTGCAAAGCAGATACAAAAATGATTAGTTATTCCCTTGATTCTACTCTAAATCTTGCGCTTCCGCTCACCTGCTCATCATGGCCGCATTGCTCATGTAGTCCTTGGCGCTGCCTTTGTTCCCGCTGCCGGCCATCGTTGTGCTGGCCACCTGCTGTTGCTGCTGCTGCTGTGACAGATGTGCCGCAGAGGTGACCGTGGCGCTGGCTGCGGCTCCGCTGCTCGCCGCAAACGCATTCATGGCCGCCTGCACGCTCTGCTGGGGCGTCATGCCGAGTGCGCCGAATTGTGAGAGCGAGTTGAGGGCATTGAGCGACGGATTGTTCTTGTCGCGATCCCGATCCTTGCCAGAGCTGCCCATGCCACTGCCAGAGATGCTTGCATGCGGCGACATGGCCATGCTCGGGTGCATGCCACCCAGCGAGGCGCCGCCGCTCGAGCTTGAGCTGACGTTGGTCGACGTCTTGCTGCTGGACATGATGCCACTTCCACTGCCGCCACCACCGCTGCCGCCTGCGCCTAGGCTCATGGCCAGATTGGACAGACCGTGAGCATGCAGCGATGAGCCACCACCAGCTCCGCTAGATTTCTTGCCAGAGGAACTGTTCGAGCCGCCCCCACTGCCGAGACCCGACATGCCGCCCACGCCGGAGCCGGAGGCGGCCGCTGCGACGGCCTGCATGGCCAGCAGCTCCTTGTGCAGGGTGACCGGATCGTAGGCAGAGCCAGGATTGCTCGCAATACTGTTGCTGCTGCCGCTGCTGGTCATTGTCGAGGGTTTGCCATACGCGCTGGCAGTGCTCTGCAAAAAATTGAAGATTAAAGTGAAAAATAAGACAAATTATACAAAAAAACTATCTTTAAATCTAATTCATGTTAAGGTTTCTGTTGTTTTGGTCGAAATAGATTACAATAGATTACCAGGCAGATGGCCGAATGATAAGAGTTCATAAGAAATAAGCAAGCTAATCAGCAGACTTTTGGATGGTTGCATTAGTCAGGGTCTCACCTTGTAGCCGCCGTGGCCCGCGCTGCTTGTCGAGATGGAGGCGCTGCTGCCGGAAGGCGGCATGCTAGTGCCCGGCAGTCCGAAGCCGTGCATGCTGGCCAAGGCCGCGGCGGGATTGTTGGCTGCTGCTGCAGCTGCTGCTGCCGCCGCGGCGTTCAGGCTGTTGGCCAGATTCTGCTGCTGCTGTTGCTGTTGTTGTTGCTGCTGCTGCTGTTGGGCGGCGCGTTTCTCCTTGCGCGACTTGTTCGACTTGCTGCTGGAGCCGCTGCCGCCGCCGCCCGCGGCGCCACCTCCACCACCTACTCCGACCATGCCCGCGCCGCCCGCTGCTCCCGCACCTGAGCCCGTGCCGGCGCCACCCATGGCCATGGCGGCGGGCCCAAAGGCAGCTGCCAGATCAGGATGGGGAAACGGCGACAGACCGGAGGCCTGCAGACGGCTAAAGTAATCCTGTGCGGCCAACTGAGCCATGGACCACCAGCCTGCAAAGTACAAATGGCATTAGTTTTACAAACAGATCAGACGATCAGCGGAAAATTCATTTAATTTATGTACAATTAATTGGTAATATAATAATGTATATTTCTTTAATATCAACTAAAAACAATAAATTTAAATTACACTTATTAACAAAAACATTCCAAAAGGCCACATTTATATTAAAGTGAATATCTCGACTAAAGTTTAATATGGATTTGGAATGAACCAAACTTAAAACAACTATCAGAGAGAATAATAACAACTATAAGAGAATAATTTATAATAGTTATACGAAATTTAAATCAGAATGAAAAATAATAAACATATGCTTGACTATTTATCGCTTTGTTGGCCAAGAGAGCAGCTGACAAAGCGTAAAGCTTTAAAACAGCAAGCGAAATTGTTGCTATAGGAGCGTTTTCTTCAAGTGAATCACGCGGATTGGACGAGACACTTGCTGTTGAAACTCCACAAAGAAGAATATCTAAAACCTAAATAACATTCACTTATTCCCCCTCCCTCCTCCTTCCCACCACTCTTCTCTTATTAAATTTTGATAAATTGCACTATAATTCCCAAGCTGCAAAGACGACTGTTGAAGTTGAAAATTGAATTCTTTTTTCTTTTTTTTTTGTTTCTTGAGCAGGACTCGAACTTGCGTCGGGTCTGCCACAGCTCTCGTTCCTCTCTTTCGCTCTCGCTTTCTCTTATTTTGCAACGTTTTAGCGGGCAGCGCCAACACAGCTGCTGTGCTGCATGCGTCGCAGTAGCTACTTATTCCCTTTTCACGTCTCGTTTGTTGGCCTTGTCGTCTTGTTGTTGTTGTTCGTATGCTAATTAATGTGGACGAGTGTCGATGCCGACATTTTACTCACTTGCTGGATGCAGACCTGCCAGGCTGGCGGCCTGGGAGGCCGCGACGGCCATTGTGTTCTGGTGATGGTGGGCGCCTGCAGCTGCCGCCGCTGCTGCGGCCATTGATGAGTAACGGTCATTGGCAGCCGCTGCGCCCGCAGCATTTGGTAATAGGCCCAAGCCGGCGGCAGCGGCAGCATTGAACTGCGAGTTGAAGAGCGGATTTGAAGCAGCTGCGGCTGCAGCTCCAGTGGGATCTCGGCCCCAATAAGCTGCAGGCAAGAAGCAGAACAAGCAAAATATATTAACTACATATATTTTGTGTTGCTTTTTCAACCACTTACCAAACAGCGACGCAGCGTCTAATAGTCCGGTGGGATCGTGGGGCCCGCCTGCCCCTGCGCCGCCACCCCCGCCGGAGCCGCCCTTGCCGTGATTGTTTGAGTTTTTGCCATCATTGCCGCTGCCATCGCCGGCATTTTTGTTCATGTTAAAGTGCAAAGTTGGTGTTGTTTGTTTTTACAGTTGTCCTTGTTGTTGTAAATAATGTAATTATTATAGTGCTTCTTCTGTCTGCAAGTAGATAGAAGAGAGAGAGAATACAAAATGTGGTTAGCATATTAATTAAAATGTCAGTTATAACATTTGAACTCTTTTCGATTCTCACTTAGGCGCTGCTCTCACTCTTGCTTTCGCTCTTAATGTTGGCAACGCCATTTCGGCGAGTCTGCGAATGTGTTGCGCAAAGAGGAAACACAAGAAACATGAAAATCAAAACAAAACTACAAAAAAAACTACACACACAACTTCCACACAAAACCCGAACGGAAGCGGGCAGCGGTCGCGCTCTTGTAGCTGTATGCGTGAGAGCAATGCGTGAGAGAACACGAACAGAGACGCCGTGGCTGCGGCTTGCTCACTCACTCACTTACCACTACACCTGCATTGAGGGGAAAACAGAAACAGAGCGAATTCGCAGCGTCGCGCAGCGCGCAACTCACACACAGCGTAACAGAAAAAATGCGGCGAACGGAAATATATTAACAAATTGCATTGCAAAACGCAGGAAAAGTCGAATAAATGTAACGTTTTTACATAGCTATGCAAAAATATTAAACACAATTAATCCGATTAATACTATTACAAGCAAAATCGACACACACACACACTCGCACTCACGGACCCCACAGGCATACATAAGCCGCTGCGCTGCGGCGAACTATGCATACACAAAGCGAAAAAAAAAAAAGAAAATGCCGTTCGATTTGAGTAGCTTTTTCTGAGTACATTTTGTTGTTGTTTTTATACATACATATGTATGTTTGGTTTCTCTTTTTGTAAATTTCATTCATAAATTGTTGCAGCTCAAGTTTTGCTTGCATTTGCATTTCACACATTCTGCATATGAACGCCGCCGCTACGCCGACGACGTCACCGCGCTGCCGACGCTGCTGACTAAGAGCCGACTGAGACACAGACAGTCTGTCGGCCTGTTTGAACAAAAAAGTGCATCTACAACAGTCGACGCGGATGCTTACTTAAAAAACGGCACCTTTCATGCATCAAGCGTATTTTCAGATACATTTCACATATTTTTTAATACATTTTTCACAGCGTTTTGTAGTTTTAATCCACAAATGAAATTATTTACGGACAAGCGGTGGCGAAAAGCAAACCAAATATCTGTGGGATAACGCGGCGACTGAGAGCGACAATGTGAGAAAACAAAAACGCGCTCGGTACGTTACAAGTGGAATTGAAACATGAGAGCGGTGCCGTGGCACGAGTGTGAGAGTGAGGCGCAATGAATGGACCGATGCCGACGCTGACGTTGAGTTCGACAGCGACGGCGACGGCGACAGCGACAGCGACGCGTTTTCACAGTGGTTGATAATTACACATTTTTTGTTGTTTTTTTTGTTGCGAAAAAGAAAATGCATAATTTTATGAATTAATCATTTTAATGAGCATACGTTTAGCAGTCCACAGTGCCACAATAAAGGTGGAGCCCACTTTTGCTCCTCTTGCCTTTTTAATAACAGTTATTGCGCTTTCTGCTGTCACGCATCAGCCGACAGATGTGTCTGCTTATCACACAGCATGTGGACTCTGTGTGTGTGTGTGTGGGTAAGTGAGGTGGATGGGGGCATTTACGAATATTAAATTGCTTAATATATCGCCACGATATGCGCCAATAGTAAAAGGAAAAGGTACAGCAACAAATACGCGCATACAGCACAATACTAGAGTTAACCGTAATGTTGTTTTTGCTGTTACCAGCGTTCCTCCGCCCGCTTATACTCGTTGTTGCAGCTGTTGTTGTGTGTCTTTTCTTATGCTTCGCTTAAAGTTTTATGATGGCAACCGCACAGTTGGACCTCTGCTCGGGTCAAAACGTCGTCAACGGCAGCAGCAAAGGCTGTGTTGGTGTTCGTATATATGCGTGTGTATGTGTGTGTGTGTGTGTGTGAGGGTGTGAGCTGAGCAAGCGCGCGCCACAACAACAATAGAAACAACAGCAAAGCGTTGGCAATATGATTCGAGCATTTATCGTTGACGCTGTCACCGCTGACAACGTCGACAGCGACGCCGTCGTCGACGCGCTGCCAATGAAAAGGTGCGCGAAGCGTGCGTATGGGAATGGGAATGGGGGAGGGAACGACCAAAGCGACTGCTGCTGCTGCTGTTGATTTTTTCTTTTCTTTTTTGTAGATATATACATATATGTATATATTTTTTTTTGCCCATAGCGAATGACTGACGCTGCCTGCCTGCCGCGACTCTCTCGACTCAACTGACTGACCGACCGACGGACTGACGGACCGACCGCACGAACGCCTCTGCCCTGCCGCCTGTCGTTTCAATATTTGTGACTGACAGAGTACAAATGTGAAATTCTTTTTATTGTGCTCGACGCCCGACGCCGCCGCTGGCGTCACTGCCAGTCGATACCCACACCCCAGCCCTTCCCTTCGCTAACCATCCACGAGCTTTTCTTGTTTGTTTGTTGTTTTTTTTTTTATTATTTTATTTTGCTCTTGATTATCTCTAGCTCAATTGGCAGCCGTCAGTCGCTTTTTGAGCATGTATGTGTGTGTGTGTGTATCTTTGCCAAATGCCGCTGCTTGTGTATTATGTGTACATACATATGTACATACAACATTAGCAATAACGTCGTGGTCGCCGCCGCCTTTTGCAATAATTTGTTGATTTCTTATAAAACACACACCAATACATTTCCTCGACTCAATGCAAATTCTTGATCCATTACAACTACTTACACACATTAAAAGCATTAAAGGCACGCGCACGCACACACATGCTTCAATACGAACTCGTTATTGTTGTGTTTACACTCGCGCATTAAAGGAGTTATTTAATTGAACTGTATTTGTTTCTTTTCTTTTTGTTTTGCATGTGCATGAACATTCTGGGTTAACGTTATAGAAAAGTGAACGTTGTTGAAATGAAACAGCTTGAGTGCAATGTGCATACCTAGGTATGTGTGCATGTATGCATGTATGTATGTACATGTGTGCGGCAGGAGAGCTTTGAGTGTGTGTGTGAGTGTATGAATTACTGAACTGGCGAGTTTGTGTGCCTGCGTGCGTGTGTGTGTGCGAGTTGCTTTGTTTATTGGCTGCTCTCGTCCCTTTGGCGCGTTTCAATTCCAGCCGTGGCGCTTTCGCTACATACATACACACATACATACACGCGCACATACCTTAATACACACATATTTATTTATTAATGTTCACTTGTCCGCGCATTCGTTGATCATCTTCGACGTGCAGGCGCACATACACACGCACTCACACACACACACTGCACACACATGCATGCATTTGTAATTTTGCTGGCATTCTTGGGGCGGCGATTTAGATTTAGGTACAAATCGTTGTTCTTGTTGCCCGCCGCGCCTCGCCGCGCCGCGCCATCATTTGATTGTTGGCGGGCGGCTTTATAACGCTCCGACAATTTTCAGTTCACTTTGACTTTGCCTTTTCTCATTACTCAAGTTGACTCTTGCTGCGAGCGGCTCATACTACCGCTTGTTCGCATGTTTGCTTCTTGCTTGTTCTTGCTTCTTGCTTCTTGTTCTTCTCTGCTGCGGGGTTATTGACTCAAGAAAGCAACAGACAGAGACAGCTAAACTGAGTGAAAAGAGAACTTGCCGTTTGCCGTCATCGCGATCTTCATTTGTTAGCTCGGTCTTGGTCTTGTGTTTTATGCCCCACTTCTGCAACGTTTGTATCCAGACTGCAACCGCAGCTGCGCCGCAGACTGCAGCTGCGACTGCGACTGCAACTGCGACTGCAGCAACAAGTACACTGCAGCACGATGTTGCCCTCCTTCAATGTTCTCTATGCATTTGTACAGCAATTTCGCCTTGCCCCGCCCCCGCCCCTGTCCCCACCTTCACATTCTGCAGCTGACAAAGCATTTTCTCAGTCAAACACAAATCAGAATTTGATTATTTTCATAAACAAATTGAAAAATATGCATTTTCCAGTTGTCGCATTTCATAATTTCTTAAGAGCATTAAATAACTTTATTATTTATTTTTTGCTTCTTATTTAAATTGTCAAACGCAAGCGTGGCAAACACTTAAGGAAACTCCATGCAACCCTGGTGTACAGTGAACTATGCCTAAAGCGAACTGCACACTCCAGACCTGTTCGTTTGCCAAGGGTTAACTGAATTAAATAAATCTTGATTACGAGAGCGGAAGTGAACGGGACAACAATATGTTCGATTTCCACTTTCAAGGTGAAATGTGAAATGAAAGGTAAAAAATATGAAATATGCATAAATATCAACTTGGCCTTGTCTCTTTTACTCGAATGTGTTTAAATTTATAAATACATAAATTTGTATCTAAAATTGGGAACACAAAGTTCTGTTTGTGTGTGCCGCTTTTTCAATCTATATACTCTTCCATTTATATACTCTTCCATTTATATACTCTTTCCGTTCGTTTCTCTGCCTGTCTGTTTCCCTGTAATCTAGTATGATAATTAAAGTTGAAGAAACATTCTTTGAGCTATTATTTTATTAACTTTTCAAAGAGTTTCTTAAATATTTACAAAATATTAAGTGTCACGTCTTCTTTCTTCTAAAGAATATGCTTTTTTTTCGAAAAACTAAAAAGTATTCATAAGTTTCTTTAATCCTGCAAATGTAATTATAAAAGGACATGTGTATTACTATACATATTTAACATAAAACATTTAAGATTCGTCAGACGAATAAATCAACATACAATTTATGTTGATTGTGAATATATATTTGGATAGGTTGCAAAGTTTGGATGAGTTTCCTTTTCAGTAATATTTACTGTACGCTTCGGCTGCCAATTCTGTTGTGGCTTTCAGGGCGAAGGCCAGGCGAGGGGAGGGGAGGAAGGGTGGAAATGAAATGCCCAAACAGAACCGGAATAAAATGAAATGGATTTGAGTGCAGCTGGAATGCCTAGCCAGGCAGGCAGGCAGGCAGAACTAGGAACGGGGTGCGGAGAAGGGAGGGGGGTTGGTTGTGTGGAAGATGTTGGCTCGTCCACTTGTTTTTGGTGTTGTACACATTATTATCAAGGATATCGCTAACCAGCCGAAGCGGGGGTTGGGCGTTGGGGGCGTTGGGTCTGTCGGCTGCGCGCGCTCAAGGAAATTGTGTAAAAAAAGGACACACACACACACACACAACCACACACAGTCGCACAAGCACACATAAAATGTAAACTCTGAACCGAAACGGGGAGGTTGAGCCGAGCTATGAAGAGAAGGAGGAGGAGGAGGGGGGGGGGGATGACAAAGGGACACGGGACACGGGACACGGGCCAGCTCAGCCGGGACAATGGGTCGGGTCAGAGTCAGACCAAGTCCCAGCCAGAGCCATGGGCTGTCGCACGGTTTGGCGTCGCTTGGCAGAAGCGAGCGAGCACACAGGAAACGAACGCGCAAGGACACACGTTACGTGGGTGGCACAACATAAAAGGGGGCGTGGCATGGATGGGGGTGGGGGGGGGGGGGGGGGGGCAAAGGAGTGGAAGTTGGCTGTAACGAACCCAAACCGAACGAAGGCAAAAGCAAAACTAAAATTGAAAATGGCAACGACGCCGCCAGTCCCGAAAGGGGAAAATGGGCAAAGGGGCGAAGGCAGCGGTGACAGTGACAGCAGCGACGCTGGCAGCGCTAGTAATAACAACAACAACAACAAACAAATGAATTTATGCAGCCAACAGCAGCAGAAACTTGCATTTGTTGCGGTTGTTGTTGTTGTTGTTGGGTATTTATGTAACGGTGAAATAGTTGTTGTTGTTGGTGCTGCAGCAGGAGGTGGAATGCATGGGAAAGACGGCGCGCAGCGGAACGGGGCGCGCGCGCACACGACCCATAAATTAGAGCGAGAGAGCGCGCACGAAGGAGCGAGCGAGCAGATGAGCAGGCGAACACAGGCGAATACAAATGGCAGCGAGAGAGTGTGTAAGAGAGTGTGAGAGAGCGGGGAGTGAGAGCAATGCAGCATCGGAGCGAGCGAGCAGTGCGGGGGCGGGGTGAGCGAGGTTAAGCAAGGGAGACATGCGGGAGGCATTGACGTATTTGCCATTTGCAACAGAGCAAAGCCGCCGTTGCCGTTGCCGTCGCCGTCGCCTGCCCACTCAAAACTCAAAGCGAGCTTCGGGCTATAAAAACAACAACAGCAACAACAACAGCGAGCAGCAGCAGCAGCAGCAGCAGTAGAGACGCCGACGCACAGTGCAAGCAGGCAGGCAGGCAGGCAGGCAGGCAGCATCTGTTCCAGGCCTGGCAGCAGTTGGAGCAAGTGCACAAATACAAACGGAAAAGCACACATATAAATACAAATGCATGGGCAGGGTGAAAGGGTAACGGAATGGGGGGGGGGGGCATGCCAAATAAAGGTGGATGCGGGGTTAGAGGTTAGGGTGTGTGTGTGTGTGTGTGTGTGTGTGTGTGTGTGTGTGTGTGTGTGTGTGGCCGTGTGTTAGGTTGGCTGCGTGTGCGTGTGCTGGGCGGCTTTGTGGCTGCACAGAATGCACCCAAATGTGCTCAGCTTCTGCTGCCCCTGTCATTGTTACGGCAACAACAACAACAACAACAACAACAACAAACATTGATAACGTTCATCCAGAGAGAGGACGCTGTAACTGTACCGGCAACTGGGACAGGGGTGTTCACTATTGGACATGTCGCCTGGCGTAGATTACATTTGAAGGCGCCTTCAGCCTGAAGTCAATCAAATCCGGCTGCTTTAAAGATCTCCGGTTTGTTTAAGACCCACAAAAGTTTTCAACCATTTGAGCCAAAAGAAATCTATAGAGTATGTATATGGAGTGAGACCTCTCTTAGGCGGACGTTTCCTCTGAAACCATTATAAGTCAAGCCACATTCATGACAGCTCTGTTAGCCGGAGCTGAGTCGATCTGGCCATGTCCGCTCGTCCGTCAATCCCGGGAACCCTTAAAGCTATAGACATCAAGTTGATATTCTTATATATCGTAGTCATTGTTTATCATTGTTTATCTATTGTCGTCATAATGATAAATATTGTATTTGTTGTCAGGAATTTTTGGACATAACTTTAATATTTTTAGAACTGGATCACGTTTTGGATACCTTCAAAGATAAAGCCTTGGACTTTGGTATATACACACATTTGGGTGTCATATTTAAGTTCTGTTAACATCACGAGAGTCGAACTACAAACTCTGAGGTTAAGCAAGAACATATTTCTCATAGGGGAGGGGGTATTTACATAAGCTAAGAAGAAGAAGAAGCACAAGCGCTGCAACAAGTGGCGTGTGTGTGTGTGTGTGTATAGAAGGAAGCTAGGAAGACATCTCGAAGCTGATTTCAGGGTATCTTATAGTCGGGCACACCCCACTCGAACACTCTAACGTATTTCTAACAGTGTCTACATTTTTCCCATTGGCCACAGCTGAAAAAGTTTGTAATAAACTTTGATAGGATAATTGTATGGCTATAGGAAAATAATACGAATTATCTCTTGACTAATGTTAACACGTCGAACAGAAGTGTGGGAAAACGACCCTCTTAAACCCCTCCCCCCCCTCGCCACTCGTCTTGCCTGTGAGGGGAAAAGCTCTTAAATGATGCGGTGATTTCATTAGACAACAAATACAATTAAAACGCTTGTTGCACGTAATCAAATATGTAATATGAATGTGAAGCCCACGAACAGACGGAGAGACGGAGCATGGGCATTTAATTAAGGCTCAAATCGGATTATTCAACAAAAGGATTAAGCAGCAGCAGACGAGTCCTTTCCTCTGTTCCTTTCGCCTGAGAGCAGCCACAAGCAAGAAGAAGACAACCAAGGAGAACGCTTTGACAACTCGACAACTGGCTTTAAGCAACAAAAACTTGTAACTGAGCGTGAGATATCTGATTGGAATATAAAACGATTAATCGTATTGTAAAGGAATAAAATGCATTATAGGATATTCGTGGATTCTTAAAGTGCCTCTCCAAAGTATCTATAATATAATAAAGGTGTTAAATAGTTTAAGTAATTGTTAATAAACTTTCAGGCAACAGATAGAAAGCTTGTTGGGCCAGCTTTTCCAGTTGGACAGCTCTACAAAATGACTACCCCATTCCAATTGGAGTTACTCGAGTTACTCCAACGAACAAATACTGAATATATCTTTATATAAGCGCATTCCCAGGCAATTTATTATAACATTCAAAACTTGGTCAAACCAGTTTGAAAACTGTCCGATATATCCCGATATTCCCGGTTTACCAGTGGATTAGCTCAAATATTTTAAAGTTTGTTCAGACGTAGAAATAATCGAGTACCTAGTCCAAGTTTGAAGTCTAAACAAAATATGGATTTGACGGATTTGCAATGAATATACTTTTCAAATTCCTAGATTCTGACTTCATTTATATCAAAAACAATATACTCTCATTATCTATATGTAAATAAATTGCATTCTTTTCTATTTACTGGCTTAAATCAAAAACTAATCCCCCTTTTATCCGTTCTCAATAGGTACAGGGTATATCGAGCCTCGTGGCAATCAGTTGAAGTTTTGTTTATTTTTCTTCAGATTGATGCGTGCCCCTGATTCTCCAAAATATCAACAAAAGAAAGAAGCGAAGAAGAAGCAAGAACTGGATCATGTAATACATATTTATGCAGTCGATGATTTTTACTCTTGTTTCGAGGAAATCTATTTAATTTGCTTACAATTTATTTGTTGGCCAACTAGTTCTTAACTGATATTTGTAATATCCCAATACATACAAACTTTTTTTTATGGATTTTATTTTACCTAACTCTTTGTAGCTTTATAATAAGTCGTTTTATGTATTCCCAGATCCATGTAATTTAATATTTGAAATAATAACTGCCCCATTTTTCGGGTCCAACTCCAAGAAGCTGACCGAGGCAGCATTATTGTGCTTCTCTTTCTCTTCCCCTCCCTTTCGCTCACTCTCTGTTTAACTCTTGCCTTCCTTTTACTCACCAGAACAAATTTGGTTTGTCTTATTCTTGTTCCCAATTGGAACTCTGTTGTTTCATAGCTCTTCCTCTTGTTGCTGTGGCTTTTGTAGATTTTGAGTTCAAATTTTCATATTAAAACAATTAATTTTGTGCTCCTCTTGTTGTTGTATTTTGTGTGTGTTTTTGCTCACTCACTTGCGGGGAATACTTTGAAATTTGAATAATGATTTCATTTTAGATATTTGGCGGCTCTTTAGCCAGGTTAACACGTACACGAACACACACACACACAAAGATTGTAATAAATGATGATTGGAATTAATAATTAGCGCGTTTCGTTGTTTTTTTAGAGTAAAAGGGGAAGTCCCGAGAGATCAGATCAAACGTAATCGTGCACTTATATTCTCATTAATAAGTTTGTGAATCAGGCAAATAACTGTAACAAGTATCTTTTAAGCCGAATCAATGTATCTAGATACAAATATCCAACAAATGTCTCCCTGAGCACAAGACAAAGAACACAAGTTGTATTTATGTGCATCTACATTTTTACAGCATATCTTCTAGTCGGGCAGACTTGTTTTTTTTCTTTATTTGTTGTTAAACAGATTAAAGGCGACCGCAAAAAAGTGACTGTGCCTTGTATTTGTTTAATAAAAGTTTGTCACTCCGAATCAAAGAACCATACATCAGATACAGATAAGCATGTCTATGTATTATGTGTGCATGTATGTGTGTGTGTGTGTGTGTGTGTGTGTGTGTGTGTGTGTGTGTGTGTGTGTGTGTGTGTGTGTGTGTGTGTGTGTGTGTGTGTGCGTGTGTGTGTGTATGTATGTGTCGCCTGTGAGTCATTGCACAGAGAACAATGACGCACATATCGGTCAGCTCTAGAGCGCGTCACTCGCCACTTTTGAGATAGATACGCGCGTGGAGGGGGTGTGGCAGGCAAAGGGAACGAGTGGGCAGAGAGCCGCAAGAAAGCTAATTAAAAAAAAATGGCTGCGACAGGCAGAGTTGCCACCTGATCAAAACGCTTGCAACTCAAAAGTTAGGTGTACAATTGCCATTTATCTGTAAACATAGAAATAACTTGTTATATCTTTTGAAAACCTTTCTAACTCGCACTTTCAGTTTTTTAGGAAAATGGTAACATTTATAACTCAATTTTTCCAATAATTGATAAATAAAGTTATAGTTTTTAGGCCATGCGACAATCCTGGCTGCAGTTGTGCGTTCCAGTGTTGGCAAATGACGCTTTAAAAAAGTAGCTAAATTCAATGTTAGCTAAATGTTACCTTCAGCTCTTCGCTTAATTCACTTTCTGGACACAAATTGTGGACAAAGCTGTTTCCGGCCAGAGCCATCTTTAGCCAGAAAATAGCCAAATTGGCAGCACTAACCCGTTCACAAGTACATGAAATACATTTCATTTATGAAATGCATTTTTTTATTGCAGCTGCGAACGAAGACAACGGAAACGAAACGGACCATGGGAAGAGAACGTGTAAAAGGAAGATAAGAGAGCGAGAGAGAGAGAGAGAGGGAGCAATTGACCAGTATGTGGGCAACTAACGGTTTGTGCTACTTTTCCAATGCAATGATGAATTCGCCGTCGCGGAAAGACATTCGGTTTATTGAGTTAGCGTAGCCAAAGTCAATTCCGCAACTGATAAGAAACCAACCTAAACTAACTGTTCGCACGTAAAGAATGTAGTTGCAATAAGTCAGCTGGGTCTAATATTTTATAGACAATGTTTCTTTGCCCTAAATCAGACCGAAAAGATGACAGATATATCTTTCAACTCGTAAATGTTTTCAGCATACAAATATATCAAACTATATTCTACATGCAAATTTGAAAATGCGTTGGAAGTACTTGTGAAGTACTTGATGGTACGCCAAAAATTGCAAACAAATATTTTTCGCAATACTTTCTCTAAGTGCGGGTGGAATTTCCACATATTCGATGGGGCACATCGAAAACTTTCCACACGCACGGGTGAATATTCCGAAAAGTGTGAAACACATTTCAATTTAATTTGATCTGATCTTTGAAAATGAGCTGAAAGTCATTTCGATGATACACAAAAGGCAGCATGCAAGCGTTTTCCGCGGTTTTCCCACACTTGCGGGTGGAATTAGCCTTACGTTTGTAACAACAGTTAACATTTTAACTCTCTTTAGCTCTTACGGTTTTGGCTACAGACTGATAGGTTAACATATACGTTTAAACACTTTTAGATACATATGTATGTATGTATGTGCATGCATACATAATATATAATGGGTCAGTGGAATATATGTATGTATGTATGTATGTGTACGGTTATCTCATTGCCTTGCAATTGAAAAATATTTGTTGCTCTATAAAGAAGGCAAGGAATATGTGACCAGAATACCCACGCCCACGCTTATTTATAATTTATCACTGACTCGACACAAGCTCATCCACTGGAAACAGAACTCGCCTCTGCTTGTAAATGCCAAATGCGCCGCTGGAAGACGATCAAATGGCGGCCGATTTACTGTTACCCGTGGAAGGCGAAGAGTGGAAAGGGAAAAGGGGCGCAGCAAATGTGCAATTTGTTTGCTCAGAGCTGCTTTAAAGATTCAAATTCAATGCAGATGCAACAAGAGTGTGTGTGTGTGTGTGTGTGTGTGTGTGTGTGTGTGTGTGTGCTGCGAGGGTGACTGGCGTGAAACAGCAGGGAAACAGAGAAAAGGGCCCAAAGCAACTAAATGACTAAAATTAAACAAGAAAACAAATTCATGATGAATGCCTCAAAAATGTGAGTTCAATTTGAAGGGATGATGGCGATAATAATGCGAAGCTGTGTGCAATGGACAGAGAAGAGCGAAGGTAAAACGGAACAACTAGAGACAGCCACGGGAACTGCAGCAACAGCACGAAATGACGAATTCACAAGCACTCGCATACACACACACACACACACACACTTGCACTTACACAAACACACACACACACGTGAAACGACGGCAACGACCACAATAAAAACCAACGAAATAAATTAAACAATATGAAAAAGAAACACTGCACAGCGGCATACACCCAAAACGAGCTCGGCAAGGGGAGTGGGAAAGGCGAAAGGCAAGGGGCAGGGGACAGGCCAAAGCAATCAGCGAGGAACGAGACAAAACCGCCACCAACGGCAGCAGCAGCAGCAGTGACGGCGGCGGCGGCATCACAAAACTTGAACGACAAACTGACAAACAGACGGACAGGACAGACAGACAGACGGCAACTTTTTATGTAGAAACATTGCGAGAGGCAGCCAGAGGACGGACCACAGAAAATCCAACTAAATATCGAAATCACAAATCCGCAACTGAGCTGCGTTATAATAAAAGCAACGACAACAAAAACAAACAAGCACAAAAATTGTATTTTAGAAACGAATGAGTGAACTGAACTGGGCTGCGCTGCGCTGCGCTGAGCCGAAATGAGTTGGATTGAGTGGAATGAGTTATTATAACCGCGAGTGAATGCAAACAGAAACTTAACTGGCCGACAAGTTGTCAAAGCGACATACACAACGGTTAGTTACATACACAGCTAGACCAAAGTGCAGTTAGATTCCAGGGCGAATGAGTGTAAATGGAAACCCACAAGTTTTGAAAACTGAAGAAGAGCGTCAAAGGCATCCACGCACTTTTCTATTATTTATAAGCACATTAATATGTGTGTGTACAACATAAATACTTCGCAATTTGCACAGTGGAGCAAAGCGATCGTCGCAAGGCAAGGGAGACGACGACGAGCCAAAGGGGGCATTCAACGCAAAACAAAAAGCGCAAAGCATATCCAACAACAACAGCAAGAACAACAACAACAGTCAACATCTATAGCTACAGCGACTGAGACTGCGACAGCGACGTTGGCAGCGCTGCGGGTCGTGTCATGCACACATTTGGTATACACACACACATACACACAAGCATATGTATGTATGTACATGAAGGCATACACAAACAAAAAACATCGGCCAGGCCGCGCCGGGTTGGGCAAGCAGCGCCAACAACGGCAACAACAATAACAAAAGCAGCTAGCCAAGCAACAAGAAGAAGAATAAGAACAACAACAGCAACAACAACAATAACAGCCACGGCAGCGAGACATAAAATAAATGAGCGACGCTGCCGCGCAAACATGTCTCCAATGATGTAGATGTTGTTGTTGTTGCTGTTGTTGTTGGTTGGCCTGCTCGTTCGGCCATTCGTTCATTGCGCCGCTGCTTCAATTTCGTTTTTTTTTTCTCAACGTTTCTTTCGCCGTAATTATTGATACATGAAAAAAAAAATACAAACTGAAAACGCCGACGCCGAGTTGACGCAATAAATCCTATTGGAGTTGCAATAGCACACACACACACACATATGTATGCATGTGTGTGTGATTGAATGTGTGCAAGTAGCTAATTATTGCATTGGTCAGTAACTCGTTTAAGCACACTAGAACAAGAAGAAGAACGTAAAGCTTGGCACTTGGTTCTCTGCATCTCTTTTGCACAAATATAAATTCTATGGAGTTTTTGATTAGCTTTTGTGCTTTGTCTAAATCTGTCATTTAAACAAGTTCATCAGCTTAGTATTGGAATTTTACAGTTAATGTTAATGGCAACTGTTAAGCAGCAAAGCGCAGGCGAACGCTTACTGCGACGTTGGCGCTAACTGTGACAGCGACAGAGACTGCGGCGACAGTTTGCTCGCGTTTTTATTGATTTGACAATTTTGTTTTGTGTGTGTATAACGTGCAGCAGCGGCGGCGACAGTGGCAGAGGCGGCGGCAGCTTTAGATAACTGCAAATTGAACGTACATATGTATGTATGTATGCATGTATGTATGTATGTATAGCATATATAACAACAGCAAATAGCGAACAGCATCTCGCGCAACTGTGGACAATTTTAAATCCTTTTTGGTTGCGTCTTTTGAGGAACAAAAAGAGGCAGAGAGAGGGCACACAGAGTTCACACACAACTGACAAAAGAATATACGGTGGCCAGGGTGCACATACACTCACACACACACACACACGCGCGCACACATGCACTAAGAGAGAGACACAA